CGCGAGGCACCCGTGGAAGCCGGGACACGCGGGCACCCGCGCCTCCCCACCGGCATGCACGTCCGATGTTTGCATTCCCTTTTTTTGTCCTTTTTCTTTTTCCTCTTTTTTTTTTTTTGCTTTAATACATCATAGGTATTCTTCCCCCTACCCGCAATCTACGCCCTCCCTCCTCCTCCTCCTCCTCTTCCCCCCCGGCCCCGAAAAAATTTTTTTCTTTATTGCATTTGGAACATTTTGGCACAGTACAAATTCTTGGACCGCTTTCTCGTCCTGCTTTTTGCTCTGTTTTTAAGTAAGATCAATTGGTAAATACGGCCGTTGGCTCTAAGAAAGGACATCTCTGTGTAAATGGGTTGGTTTGACTGCGTCCTACGGAGCATCCGCTAAAAATGGACCCTTTCTCCCACCCGCTCCTCTGCTTTTTCTGTGCTCTCAACCTCATTCCGGAAAGCCACTATGGCATCTCTCTGTCTCTCCCTGTCTCTCTCTCTCGTTGTTATGGGGTTTGCTTGCCCTTTTTTTTTTTTTAAAGATTTTAATTTTGATTCCCCCTTTTTAAATAGAACTTACAAGTTAGAAAATATTTCCTTTTTTTTTTTAAATTTTAATATAATCTGCTTCTCTTATCAGCCCATAGATTTAATATATAAGCATATACAAGAAAAAAGTCTCTCCCCCGCTCTGTACAAAAGTTGCTGTCTGGTTTTTCTTTTTTTTTTTTTTTGTTCTGTTTTTGTGCATTCTATTGCATTTATAATTTCTGAAAAAAAAGTCATATTTGAGTTTCCTGTACTTTCTCCTTGGTGTGGGTCTGAATTATATAGGGTTCAGAGAGGGTGGTTACGGGGGGGTGCAGAGAGTTCCCCAAGTTGTTCTCTGTCCAGTGGGCCCCGTGTGCCGGTTTGTAGGTGTTGTAGTTAATATGGTCATGAATTGTGGGCAACACAACTGCCCCCTCACCTGATACGCTGGTCGGAGCCGCGGTGGCGGCGGCCGCGGCGGCGGGGATGTCCTCATCCACCTGGATGATTTCGACCGTCCGGGCGGCCGTCACGGTGCTGCGCTGCTGGTGCCGCTTGCGGAGCTTGTAGAAGACAATCAGCATGGCCGCGGCCAGCAGCGTCACCGCCACGAAGCAGCCGATGATGATCTTGGTGGTCTTCATCACCTCGTCGAGGCTGGTCTGCATCTTGTCGTTGGAGTCCGCGGTGGGCACTGCCACCTGCTTGGGCGTCCGCGTGGTCTGGATCAGCACGGTGGTGGTGGTGGTGTACGCCGGCTGGTACCCCGTCGACGTCGTGGGCACGGGCTTGGTGAACTTGGGGGAGATGTCCTCCGGGGAGATCTCCGTGGTCTCCACCGTGACGGTGGTGAAAAAGCTGTAGTTGGAGGTGTTGAGCTCGGCCGTGCTCACGTTGAGGTAGGCCGAGGCGTTGGAGTTCCCCGCCACGTTCGTCACCATGCACGTGTAAACCCCGGTGTCCGTCAGCAACACGTGGGAGAAGTTCAAGGTGCCGTCGTTGAGGACGGAGATGCGCGGGTGGCTGGACGCGTGGCTCAGGACCGTCCCGTTAGGCAGCAACCACCTAACGGAGGACATGGAAGGAGTTCGGCACTTGAGCTCAGCCACCCGCCCTTCGGAGATGTTGAGGTCCATCGGGGCGTCCATGATAAAGGGCGCCGAGCACTGGAAGGAGGTCTGGTCCACCTCCACCAGGAACTTCCCTCGCATGTGCAGCGGGGCATGGCAGCGCCCGCAGCAGGTGGAGTTGGTGGGGATGTACTCCCGCAGCCACCACGACAGCCAGAGGATGTCGCAGTCGCAATCCCAAGGGTTGTGGTGCAAATGTAGCTCCACCAGGTACCGCAGCGGGGCAAAGAGGTCGTGGGGCAGGGAGGAGAGGTTGTTGTGGGCCAGGTTGAGCTCCACCAGCGCGGTGAGGTCGTCGAAGGCGTTTCGCTCGATCAGGCTGATCTGCGAGTTCATAATCCAGAGCTTTTTGAGAGACTTTAACCCATGGAAAGAGCCCGGTTTGATCTCGGGGAAGTTATTTCCCGACATCTCCAGTTCCTCCAGCCCCACCAGGGGCGTGAGGTTTGGCATGTCTTTAATGTTACACATCCCCAGATTAAGGTATTTCAGGTTGTATAATCCCTCGAAAGCCCCCTCGGAAATGTACTCCAGTTTCTTGAGCTCACCCAGGTCCAGGCGCATGAGGGAGGGCACCCGGTTGAAGGCGTACGAGGGGATGCTCTCGATGGGGTTGTTCCTCAGCCACAGCTCCCGCAGCTTGGACAGGTACTCGAAGGCCCCGCTGGGGATGACCGTCAGCCAGTTGTCAAACAACTCCAGGGTGTTGAGGCTGGCCAGCCCGTTGAAAGCCCCTACCTCGATCTGGCGGATGGAGTTCCTGCCCAGCTGTAGGACTTCCAGGTGGTGCAGATGGCGGAAGGTGTCCGCCTGGATCAGCTGGATGTTGTTCTCCATGAGGTTGAGGTACCGGGTGTTGGAGGGGATCCCCTGGGGGACCTCGGACAGGCCACGGCGCGTGCAGACCACTTTGCTGAACTGGTTACTGCACGAGCAGACCGAGGGGCAGCTTTGGGGTCCGGGCGAGGCGGCCGCTGCACACAGGATCCACGCGTGTACCGTGAGGTAGACAAAAAGGGCAGCTTTCCAGGTGTGGTGCACAGTTACCTGCCACAAGAGCTTCATGATGCGGCACGTTCATAATTCACCATCGTCTGGGATTTGGCGTGAAAAGGA